AAAACAAACTTGTTGCATTTGTTTGAAAAGGATGTTTAAAAGAAATCTGATGTCACCACATTTTCCTTTTTAGAAAAAAACAAGCACGTAATTCATGATATTGCATGTTTGCGTAGGCATGTCTGAGTTCCGAGCTAGACATTTTTGGTTCTAAAAACATTCTGAGAATGTTACCATTCATTGTTCTAGGAATGGTTTCATCGAGACATTTTAATTTGGTTCCTAGAATGTACTTCTGAAAGGTAGGATAACGTTCTCTAAAAACATTCTTAAAATGTTTGGTGATAACATTGTTCGAACATTATACCCCAAGTGTTTTTGTTGTTTATGCACATACGTCTATTGTCATATGGATCGAATAACACTTAGAAAACCAAAGACAGACATATAGAAGAACGGACCGACTATCACTGCCCATCCCTTAAACCCCTGTTAGTGGGTTAGTGCCCCCCCCCCACCTGCCTGCTGGTCTGCTCTACACGGCTGGGAGCAATCTCCAATCAACCACACCTGCAACATACTCATAAGCCACACTATGAAAGCCTGCAGCCTGCACTCATTCCCTGCCGGATTGTTGCCGTGAACGGTTTGTTGCGTGCCGCTCTAGCTTTTTACCAGCGTACTCTTTGACAACTTTGCCTGCTTTTGCCTCTCCCAGGAGGAATCCAAGGACTTCCACACTCCCAAGACCAGCCAGGCCTCTCTACCAACCCTGGAACAACTGTTTCCCACTGCCGCCATAACCAACCTCCACTCCCAGCTCCCCCTTTCACCAACTGATTCCGTGTCATCCTTTTACATGTGTTAATAGTCAAATTCCAATAGTTAAGTAAACTATCATAATCATCCTAATGACCACAGTGGTCAGTCCACTTACCCAGGAATTTTGAGTTGAACAATTACAGGAATATTATGTCTTTAAGTTCTAATAATGTAACATATTTTAGTAAATTGTTACCACAGAACATTTGCATAATTGTTTTAATATAAACCATGTTATCCTTCTCTAACTTGCAGCTGAAAATGTTTTAAGAACAGTAGGGCACAATGTTATCAAAAACATTTTAAGAATGTTCTTAGAGAACGTTATCCTACCCTTCAGAAGAACATTCTGTGAACCAAAATAAAAGCTTCTGCTGAAAACGTTTTAAGAACAGTAGGGCATAATGTTCTAACAATTTTATCAAAAACATTTTAAGAAGGTTATCACCAAACATTTTAAGAATGTTTTTAGAGAACGTTTTCCTACCTTTCAGAAGAACATTCTGGGAACCAAAATAAAACCTCCCGCTGAAAACGTTTTAATTATAGTAGGGCATAATGTTCTAACAATGTTATCAACAAACATTTTAAGAATATTTTTAGGGAACGTTATCCTACCTTTCAGAAGAACGTTCTGCGAACCAACCAAAACTTCCCGCTGAAAACCTTCCTAGAATAATGACTGTAACATTCTCAGAATGTTTTTAGAACTAAACATTTCTAGCTGAGGTATCACCACCTCAGAATGTGACAAGGCAACATACGTTAACATGTAACACACAGGAGACATGGATGAATAAAGATGTCCTCCCAGATTACTCCATGTTTGCTATTGGTAATTATTTACCTGGTAAAGGTCATTAGCCCTGTTTCAGGACTCCAATCCTTGAGCTTATGATCAAAGTTCATCTTCATGTTTGGATATGCCTCTGCCTCTGTCGGATAAACATGTTACAAAAAGGAGCTTATATCACAGACGAAAGCATGTCATAACACCAGCAGGTTAATAAGACAGAAAATATCTCGTGAAAAAGCACAAAGAGCCTTCAAATTCTAGTAAAGTGCAGTAAGGACACAGACCGTCAGCATATCAATGAAGTGGAATGACCTCAAACTGATAACAAGAGCCTCAACAGAACAGTCAGTGTGTATTCATTTGTTAAAAACCCATGATTAGGTTGTCAAAATCTCCTCTTCACTCCAGGAGTCTGGATTGGCCCTGATAAAAAACATGTCTTTACAATCAGCACACGTAATTAAAGTCAGACTCTGGCTGTCACACTTTATCTCCAAGCGCATACTGAGTCACTTAATTTAATATAAGGCACAATCCCTTAAGGGTAGAAAGAATAACAAATCCCAGACGTAATTCTACAGAGAGGATCTGCAGTCGATTAGGCTCATCTCGCTGGTTATCGATCTAATGTACAATTCGTGTTATAGGGAAGAGTTTGTCATTTCATTTGGAGTGAAATACACAGTTTATGAATAAAGAATACATTGAGGGTTTAATCAAGGCTTTCAGAGAATTTAAGGATATGTATTAATAGAGTATTCTTACACAAAAAAACTGAAATGTTGACTTTAACTAGATGAATTATGTCAACAACTGCATTAGGTTCAACTTAATATTTTTTCTTTCAACTAACCTAATGCAGTTATGTGGAATTTGTTGACATAATACATTTAATTAAAGTAAATGTTTCACTTTTTAGGGTGTACGCTCAAAAATAATTGAACCGTTGACTTAGATAAATGTATTATGTGAACAGATAACACGTAACTGTATGAGGTTAGTTGAAAGCAATAAGATTTTGTTTGAATACAAAACAATAGCTTAAACTTAATATTATTGCTTTCAACTAACCTCATACAATTATGTGGAACTTGTTGACATAATACATTTAATTAAAATCAATGTTTAATTTGTTCATTCTGGTTAACCCAGGGTTAACCTTAACTCAAAACTATAAGGTTTAAACTGCACTTATCCTGGTCCTGGATGTAATGCCTGTTGCAACAATGTTTACTTTGAGGAATTCCAAAGTCCATTGAGAACTTCAGCCCAATTTCACAATGGCAAATTTGATCCTTTTTAGAACCCTGCTCCTGAGCGGAACCAACCAACTAAGTCCAAACTCAGGCTTAGCCATCTCTCGGATTGTGCCTGTTGAACATAATTGTAATATTGCCTATTGTTTTGACTACACATTTTGTCCAACAACAGTCGGATTGAACTGACTGCCCACTTGTTCAATGGCCCATTATCCAAAAGACAAACGCCTATCCCTACTACTAACATAAGCACATGGCTGATAAATATGAAGAGAGAATCTCCTTTTTTAATATTTTAAACCTTTTTTTGTCCTAGTCACAAAGTGAAGCTAAAGTCTTTTTTTAAGTTGAACTAAAATGTAAAAATCTGCTCGATAACATTAAATTGACTCTTTTGCTGTGCTCCATCGGCAAGCTTTTAGAAGGTAGACAAATTAAAAGAAGAATTTTCTCTTTTGCTCCTTCTTTGTACAAGTGTCAACTTGTCCTGCTGCTGCTAACTATATCTTAATCTAATCTCAAAATATTTGTAATACTGCGGTTGGAAGTGTAACAAAAATGTCGGTAGGATTGCTTTCGTAACTTTGACGTAAAAGTGACTCGGTTGTTTTTTCCCACATGGGAGAGACAATACATTGCTGTCAGATGGGGAGAATGTCCTTAACAAAGTTAGCATTTTCTTTTAGACAATGTACATTATTGTATGTTAAATTATCATTTCAGTTAGGCTATAATTGGGTAATTTCAGCACACATCTTCTGACATTGTGTTGCAATGGAAATAATAATAGAAACAAACACGTAATGTTCTTACCGGTTAGCAGCTCTTTGTTCAGGTTGGCTCGGTCAACTGACAGGATGAACTGAAAGGAAAACAATCTGCATTAAATACAAATCCACCACAGCTACACAAACACAACTGTGACATTTAAACTTATGATCTAAAGTTGTCAAACTTTTACTGTGACATACTTTTGGAAAGTCCTAGACTTTAGACAAATAATAAGAAATGTTATGGTATCTTTCCCTCTCATACTAATAGTCTATTATAGGCAGAAATGGGATCAAGTTGTAGGCCTTATTTACCAGAAAGTCAAAATGACAAGATATAGTAATACCTCATTACCATGTAAATAACAATCAAATCTACTAAGATATGGTATTGACTAATAGGTTTAGTATATAGGACTAACCTTTATGTCTGTGTTGGACTATGGCAATGTATGTATGAATGAATATTCTAAAGGCCTAAACTCTTTGGATACATCTACCACAGACATTTATAACTAACCATAGAACCCCTTGAACACAACTTAGCTCCTTGTGTGCTCGGGTTGGATGGTTTGCGCTTACCACCCGTAGACTGAAACATTGGCATATCCTAATTTATAGGGCTATTCTTGGTGTAATTCCCAGTGTTATTCTTGGTGTTATTCTTCTATCTTACAGGACAGGACATGTTTTGAATAACTGTTCTAATAGTCCACACTGAGCTGGGCAAAGGGAGTTTAGTTCTGCTGCTCCTGTTGCCTTGAACCAGCGGAAATATGATCTGAAACTCCGGGAGCTGCTCCTCTAAACAGATTTAAAGTGCTTCTGAATGACTGAGAAACAGCAGCTCTGTAGACGCTTTGTATGATGGTGTTTCTGACTGTGATCATGATATGTTCTCTTTACTTGTTTTTAATATGTTGTCTGTCACTCTGCTGCTGCCTATCTTGGCCAGGACTCTCTTGTAAACAGTGGTGTAAAATAACTAAGTATATTTACTCAAGTACTATACTTGAGTACACTATTAAGGTGCTTTACTTGAGCATTTCAATTTTTTGCAACTTTGTTCTTCTACTCGACTACAATTCAGAGGTAATTGTTGTACTTTTACTCCACTACATGTGCTTAATCCCTTTAGTTACTTTACAGATGAATGATGTGAAATATAATCAAGTGTTAAATCAGACTTTAGTTCCACCTGGAGTAAATCCACAAGCTACCCTGGCAGGGTAACCCTGCAGTATACAAAGTCATTCAAACTAGCTGCACCTTTACCAGCTTTGAGAACACTTTCATGATCAATCATTATAAAACATATCATATATATTATTCTGAAATGGACCAATCTGCACAATCACTACTTTTACTGTGGCTACTTTCACTATATTTTGATGATCATACTTTTCAACTTGAGTAACATTTTGATTGCAGAACTTTTACTTGTAACAGAGTATTCCTACACTCTGATACTTCCACTTTTACTCAAGTACAAGATCTGAGTACTTCTCCCACTTCCGCTTGTAAAAACTTAAATGAATCTCAGTGAGACTTTGAGGAAGGTTAAACCAAAACATTAATGACATTGTTGTGTGTTTTTAGTCTGTTGTTATTATTATAAAATGGGCATTTTTATCTGTGAATGACTTGAGTCCTACATTTGGCAGGGGGGATAAACTATCTTCAGTGATTCTGCCTCTTTCCGGGTGTTGCATGATGTTTACACTCTAGCAAAGACTTACCTGGCCTTTCTTTCCATAAGGGATCGGGGACTGTTTCCCACTTGTGGAATGGATCATTCTCGCATGCATGGGGATCCCCTGGGAGACAATCTGAGGAAAAATGATAAATACACATGGGTCAAACTTTTAAATTACACTAATGTAGGATAAATAATTATGTTTTTGTAATTCTACATAAGCTGTCTTGCTAAGTAAATGTCAACTCTCTGCCCCCAACATTTTAAAACAAGCCTTGTTGTGTCATGCTGAAAAGTCATGCAAGTGTGAAGAAAAAGGCTTGTTTCTGATGCAGAGTTCTCATCTCAAGCTTGCATAACATGCTCAGTGTAGCAAACAGACCAAAAAAAGGACTCCTGATGCCGGAATAAACCATCTTGAGTAAAGCCTGGTGGACAGACTCCCTGAGGCCCAGCTAATAAGAACAGAAAGATCAATGGTCAAGATGATCAATCACGATGGTTTTTAACAGAACAATGTGGCCTTAGAAAAGAAGAAACCAAGATATTTAGGACCAAAAATGTGTCCTCTGCTCAGAGATTTTATTTATAGTAAAGCTGCCTTTCATTCAGCATATGCAGGCAGTAGTCAATACACCAACACTGAAACACATGAGCACATACTACAGTTTAAAAAAGCAGAAATAAAATCTGAGCTGACAGAAAATGCTCTGTTTTAGTTTAATACACCCAGTTAAGCTCACACACACTATTTTATGAACATACAAGTTCACCTGCTGAATTAAAAACAGAACAAATAAAGCAAAGAAAGTGAAAACCATAAAGCAGATTCAGGCAGTAGGCGTATAGATTCACACTTAAAGTATTAGCCTACAGAACAGTACAGCTGACAGAGAAGAGACAACATCTGATCCTTTTATGTAACTATAAGGGAAAACAGTTGCCTTTTTTGAAATCCTAATTACATGTGATCCGTTACTCCCCATGCTTGTAAATAACCTCCACAAGTATTTGTTTCTTCCAAAACCCAAACTCCGGTCCCTATGCCCCTGCAGCCCTGAGAGCAATCTTATCTAGTTTCCACAATATTAGATAAACAGTGTTTTGACCAACATACCTTGTCCTCCATCCCAACATGCTTCAGTGCCTGGCGGCCCCTGTGAGACAGAGCCAGGTTGATGCTTCTTCCCTTCACCACTTTGGCTTGTCGGATATCTGAGCAGAATCAGACAAAGTGTTAATCTTACTTTAGTAAATGTGTGGTTATCAGTTGAAAAGGCTCTGATTTGGTGTGGATATTGATTAATATAATGTTGATTCATGGGTTATTCCTCAAAGAGGGCATTGATTGAAGATGTTATTTGAACACTACCTTCCCGAGTTTCAAAGACTTCCACATCAAAGCCTCTTTTGGCGAAGTAGCAGGCGTTCAGCGCCCCAACCTGAGGGGTGAAGGACAGACATCTCGCCAGAATCAATCAATCACATTTGATTTATACAGCCTGATATCACAAGTTAAACATTTACCTGTTTAAATCTGTACAATCACAGTGCTTTATACTGTCATACAGAAATAATTATCTCTTTACTAAATGATATTAACACTATATGCTGCATAGTCATACTACACATTCTTTTGGTAACTTGTTTCCTTTTTTCCACATTGGTAAATGCAAATAAAAAATGTCTTATCTGCTTCTTTCAATTTCAAAATCAGAATAAGAATACTGATTACCTACTCACTTTGAAGGAAGACAGACACCAAATTCAGTCATGAGATTAAATGACAAGATCTAGGACTAAAATAGTTCAATATTACACTTTTGTTTTCTTTTCTTACCAACCCTCCGCCAACTATTGCAACCTTCTTCGGGGTTAATCTGCAAATTGGTTCCTCCATTGTGCTTGAGGTTCTCTGGCGCTCTGACCCGCTCACTGTCTGTTTCAGAGTGATTTACAGAAGTAGTGGGTAATGATTTATAATAGTAGGAGGAGCACAGTGAGTCCCATGAAAGTCCCTTCCCAATTCAGTTCCCCTTTCAACAAGCAAACACGAGGAACATATAACCGAGGGCTCTCTGAACACTTTCTGGAAGCCTGAAGGCCTGATGTCCTTGTAGACTGCTTTAGCCGAGTGGGAGGAACTTCCTGCTTTGGGGTTTTTATTTTACAATTATTAAAATAATGTTCAGACAACAGCTAAAAGGCACATCTTTTGGGGTTAGCTTTTAATTAGCAACACCCCCCTTTTAAATGGTCTTTAACTCTTTATTATGTACTTATTGTTATAGTGTTTTATTTATTTTATAGGTTTTTTCCTTATATAATTTATTCAAAAGATTTATTTGCAACATTTCAAGTTAGTCTTTTAATATTTTAATCTTAATTCAAATTACATTGTTATTATATGTATTTTATTAATTTGTTGATCATTTCATTATGTATGATGTCTTCCTTTATCTGTCCGAGGGATCATTATTTATTTTTATTTTATTTTATTTTCATACCTTTGACCTCCTTGTGTCTCTCAAACTGTTAAAATGTTATATTATTTTTACTATGTTGCATATTTCCAAAAAGGTCTCACCGTCTGATCTGAGGGGGATTTCTTGTTCTCAGTTTTAATTTGTGATGTGGGCAATTGTGTTAAAACACTTCGAGCTGCACCTGCTATATGAAAAATGCTATACAAATAAAGCTTTATTATTATTATTACAATGATAACTTATTTGTGTGTAGTCCATTGTACAACTAGTTAAATAAGGAAAAACAAAGAAGACACAAAGATGAAAGCAGTTATTTCAGGTAGGGAATGTCTTTAAATAAGGAAAGCAATATGTCGCCATCTAGTGGTTGAAAGTTTAACTTCAGTGGCTACATAACATAACTACTCCTCGTGACACATGTTTCTTCTCATTATATTAGCGAAGCGACTTTAACGCTGAATCTAGTGCATCACCGAAGACCATAGATATAGCCGACAGCCACATACTGTGCCCCCTCTCAGGATTAACACCAAAAATAAGAAAGGCAAAACTAAAATGTGGCAATATCTTTAAACCTGCCCGGTGACTGAGTAACTAGTCAGGGTGCTCAAAACTGAAATTGCAGGCTGGTGAAACAATCAACTAAACAAAGAGCAACACCCACACATTAAATCACAACAATCTCTAAGCAAACAACTGCCACTAGATACAGACAAATACACATTTACCTCACCCCATGGACGTTCAATCTGATGAGTCTCCATTTATTACGCCACACCCTTAAACACTAGAACCGCCAGAGGTCGCTGTATACCTAAAACCGCCAACGGGCTTTTATTTATCATGTGAAACAGTGAGTTTTGATCGCACAGGGATGACATTTATACCAATACAATCTGTGGACTCTCGGCTTTTCATATGATATAGTTTGTGCAGATAGCATGAAGTATAAAATATCGCTACCGGTGCTGATTTAAACGCTTGTGTTTTGTTTAGGGCGCAAATCTGTCTCTCTATATCTATATATATCTCTATAACTATCTATCTGCCTATCTATTTATCTATCTATATATATATATATATATATATATATATATATATATATATATATTTATAAAAC